AGCTGACGCGGAATAAGCAGGAGGGAGGAAGTCAAGAAGCCTGATTTCTAGACGGAGCTTTTTAGTGACGTTGCCACTAACTGGCTTACAGAGTGATTTTTCTCATCTGTAATCTGAGGAAATCGAGCTAATGTCATTTTAACTGTGACTTTTTAATGGTTGTTTTTCCCATTCCCGATTTCAATATCCATGACCATGGAAGCTTTTTGGCTTTTTTTTTTTTTTTTTTTTTTTTTTTCAAAATGGGGGCGTCCAGCATGCTGCTCTTACCACCAGCCCGTTATGTAGATCACTGGAGGAGGGCCCTTGAGCTATCGGAGAAATGGTCCTGGAGGAGGCAGAGAGTGGGTGGCTGTCGCGGAAAACCTGTCTGCACGAGTTCGTGTATCAGCTTTCTGCTTTCTCTAATTTTCCCACTGTTCTCTTTAGTGTTTCCTATTATCTGACTGAACCCCGTTCCAGTCCCGAGCCCTTTTTTTTTTTTTTTTCTCTTACAATGTTCAGACTGCAGTGTTCCTGCCAAGGAATTTTCAGAATTTACGTCTGAAAGAAATGTATTGTAGTTCTGGCTCACTGGAATAAAATCCCAGCTAATTAGCATACGTTGGGCAACGCCTCTGGAACTGGGGGTGAGTGGCTCTGCTCAGGCTGTGGAGTCCCCGGGGCAGGATTCTTATACAGCCACCCAAGCACACGCTCCACCCGGCTGACTGTGTGAGGCGCCCGCACTTGGCTGCTATGCATGCCTCGCGCCCCGACTTCTTGTTTCTTAAAAGTATGTTTCTATCTGGTGAACTTGCAATGCGTTTTGTTAATCAATGTAGTGGGCATATATTTTAAGTGATACATTCAGTTATAGGAGGAAAACACGCCTCCTCCTCCAGTGGCCATGGTCACTGGTTAAAGATTCACCTCAGGGTCCTGTGTGGAAGGATCAGGATGGAGGTGGGAATTTGGGAGCATCTGTTTACACCATCATCATCTCTCCATCCTGGAGCACCTGACATGATGGTCAGCACCCCATCTGATTTGCTGTGGGTGATCTTGCTGTTCTAATTTCGGAGTCTCTCCAAGTCTGCTAGCCCCAACTCAGGCAGATTTGGAGTCTTGTCTGGGTGCCGCAGAAGCGTAGGGAAAACTCTGTGAGGTAAACTTGGGCCTTCTAAGCAATGGGAAGCACCCTGGAGCTGTTTCTGCTTCTCCTGCACCCGGCTGAGCTGGGGGCAGCGGGGTGGTGACACAGACTGACTGAAGCACCTAGTGGGTTCCCCAAGCTCTACCCTTGGACAGTGAGTAGAGAGTACCTTGGCTGTCAGACTTAGAGCAGGGCCAAGTAGTACTAGGAACTACCAGATTATGACTAATGAAGGGGGCACGAGAGGAAAGGGGGAGGAACCCTGGAGTAATGTCTCAAAAATACGGTCCCCTAACGCCAATATTAGTGAACCATCTAGTCCCTTATTTGTGCATAAGACAAACAAACTAACCAACTTTGGCTTTGTCATTCTGAAGATGTAGTTATGGTAGGATATTGTTTCCAAAAGTTTGATGCTGTGCACGTTAATATCAAAATTAGGAAACAGTAATGCTGTCTTAGGCTTCTATATTCCCTTATCTCTCTTTTTCTTTTATTTTTCCTTCAGCAATACTTCATTATCTTGTTCTCTTTTGTCATGGGGAAGAAATTCAGATAAATCCAATCATGATAGATTTCACTGTCTTATAAGATATTAAAAAAACACTATTGAGAAGTCTGCATTTAAAATGACCAGGAATGGGTCACTATGGATGGAATTTATGATAACTGGAGTGGAGAGATTTTTATCTTTCCATTGGAGTGACCATCATAGGCATGCTTTCGTTTTCTTAAAGTGTTGAACAAATCAGTTAAGAGAAAGATAATTTTCAAGAGGAGGCAGCCCTGAGGTTAGAAATCAGGTTGGGATGTACGGTGGGGTCCACAAGGCTACCAGAAGCTAAGTAGTAGGATCCCATTGAGAAGGACACTTCTGTCGGTACACATGAGTGTTCAGACAGAACTAAGAAGGGACTGAGGGTTTCCTGTGGCTAGGATTAAAACTGAGGAATGGAAAAAGACATTTCCAGTTTGTGTGTGTGCTTGGGATGCACCACGGGCTGAAAGACACTGGAGAGATGGGGCTCATTGGTAAAGTGTTCTCCTTGCTTGCATCAGGACCTGAGCTGGAGTTTCAGAACCCGTAAAGAAAAAATAACAACAACAACAACAAACAGTGTGTTGGTCCATACTTGTAATCCCACTGTAGGGGAGGCAGACAGGCAGATCCCAGGGGCTCACTGGCTGGCCAGTCAGCCTAGCTTACTTGGTGAGTTTTAGGTACGTTGTGGCAGATGTAAGACAGATGAAAGGCACACAGACACACAGACACACACACACACACACACACAGAGACAGAGACAGAGAGACACACACATGCATGCACACACAAGCACACACACATACACACACAAATACACACAGAGAGAGACAGAGAGACACACACAAGCATACACACACACACACACACACACACACACACACACACGCATACACAGACAGAGAGAGACAGACACACACACACACATGCAAGCACAGACAAGCACACACACACACAGAGGGAAAGAGAGAGAGAGAGAGAGAGAGAGAGAGAGAGCCAAAGCCAGAATGGTTAGAAGTTCCTGGAGACATGAAGAAAGAGGTTTCTGTGTCATTCTTGCAAACTCCCTCGCATACAGGTGAGCAGTTTCTTTTTCTTTCACTTTTAAAGATTTAATTACTACTTATATTTGTATGTATGTGTGTGAAGCTGCACACACATGTATATATGCTCAAGGAGGCCAGAGCGTGTCAGGTCCCTTGGTCTAACTTGAGTTAGAGGCAGTTGTGAGCTGCCTGAAATGGGTGTGCTGGGAACTGAACCCCAGCAAGAGCTGGATAAGCTCTTAGCCACTGCACCGTCTCTCCAGCCCCAGTGGGCAGGTTCTTGGACTGTGAGATTATCTCAGTTCCCACTGTCCTGCCTGGCCTACATATAAGACCTCAGTCAGTGTTTCCACACTAGGCTTTAGAGAGTCTCATTATATTTGTATCTCAGGTTGGAGAACTTGGTATCCCTGGACTTTGGCACTAATCTTATAGATTCTTGGTGTTTTTTTTTTTTATCTCAGCTAGATATTTAGATGTGAGTACAAACTTTAGAATTCCTCTTGGATTATCCAGCTGTAGAACCGTGGTTAGGATTAACGAGGGTGACGGCGGTCAAGAGAATCCAATAAAAATGCTAAAGCTGTATTTTCATATTCGACACAAGATACCAATCCTGTTCTTTTGGTCACTAAATGTAACTGTACAAAAACTTCCTTTAAATGTGCCTGTAGTCCTCCTGTCACTGATGGCTAGCTAAAGGAAAGAATCCATTTCTCCAGTTTTGGTGGTGGACCGACGGAACACACCTTCAGGATCAGACCGTTGTTATTAGCCAGAGGGACTGTCGGCTGGCGGCTGTCAAAGCTCTCGGGAGAGATTCTTCTGAGGGGAAATGAACGTGGAGATGGGCCAGTTTCAGACAAGAGGAAAACGGATGCTCTGAAATAGATGCACACAGTGCCAGGGTTTTGGAAGAATGGCAGAAAATGACAAACCAGTCAGAGAACTTAAAAATTCTGCTGGGGTGGGCCTTTCTGGGTAATACCCGTAATTAAGTTTAATTAGAAAGATTTGCCTCACAAACACCCTCTGTCTTGCAGCGAGAGGCAGGAAGGGACAGACTGGCACACTGACCACCAGCTGCCAGTGCCTACGCTGGAGAGCCAGCTGGACCTGAGCTGGAATCCTGGCTGCTGTGTGCATGGACAGGCTGTGTGTTCTTGCACAGATAGCCAAGGCCTTTCCAGTGTTGGTTTCTTTCTCTATAGAATGGAGATTGTCGCAGGAGGTTATTATTATGGTTAAAGGTAATGCATCTGTGGGTTGGGGACACAGATCCGTTTGTAAAGTGCTTGCTGTGTGAGCATGCGGGTCTGAATTGGACTCCGAGATCTCATTTTTAAAAAATGCCAGATGTGGTGGCACATGTTTGTAATCCCAGGCCTGAGGAGGTGGATCCCTGAGGAGCTGGACAGGAGGCCTAGCCTACACAGTAAGCCCCAGATCACAAGGAAATTCTTTCTTTAAAAAACAATGGGGGAGCTGGCTAAGTGGTTAAGAGTACTTGCTGTTCTTCCAAGGATCTCAGACTTGATCCCCAGCCCATGGCTCATGACAGTCTGTAATACCAGATCCAGGGGATCTGATACCTTCTTCTGGACTCTATGGACAGGTGGTGCACAGACATAAATGTAAACAAAACACCTATACATATAAAATAAAATAAAATAAAAACTTAAAAATGTGTGTGGTGTTGTGGATGATTAATTGATAAATAAAACACTGATTGGCCAGTAGCCAGGCAGGAAGTATAGGTGGGACTAACAGAGAGGAGAATTGAGAGAACAGGAAGGCAGAGGGAGACACTGCCAGCGGCCGCCAGGACAAGGAAGATGTAAGGTACCGGGTAAGCCACGAGCCACATGGCAAAGTATAGATTAATAGAAATGGGTTAATTTAAGATAGAAGAAGTAGATAACAAGAAGCCTGCCATGACCATATAGTTTGTAAGCAATATAAGTCTCTGTGTGTTTACTTGGTTGGGTCTGAGCCGCTGAGGGACTGGCAGGTTAGAGAGATTTGTCCTGACTATGGGCCAGGCGGGACCAGAAAAACTCTAGCTACAGTGTGGCTTCCAAGGAATAAAATTAGAAGTTGTCCATAGGCCTGTGCATGCCTGTACAGACACACATGAATGCACACACACACACACACACACACACACACACACACACATACACACAATGAATATTCGTCATCGGAGGAGATCAAATTCTAGCGATCTCTAATTGGCTGCTGCTTTCCTGGTGATGTTATGTAAAAAACAGTTGCCTATCTCGATTTGAACAGTCGAACAGTTCAGGATTGTGATTATCAACATCTCCTACAGAACCTGTTTTTAGATTAGCATCATTTTGGCCAAGTAGAGGTGAGTGCTGATTGAAACTGTCACTTGTCATTTCCAGCAGCCAGGCATCTTCTTATCTCTCTGTCTAATGTCTTCAAGTGGCGCTGTCAGGCAAGGCTGATCAAGAGTCAGACAAGGAACTGCACCTTGGCATCCTTCCTCTGCTCACTCCCAGGAGCTGAACACTCAGAGCTGGCTTGAAGGATCGTACTGGATGAGCTCAGTCAGTTTAAAGATACAAAAATTCCTTCATGCATCTGTTTGAAACAAAAGGCTTTATTGTTTGTGCAGTAGACATTACCTACTGCTTCAGTGGGGTCAGGCTCAGAATTGACCACAGTTTTAATGTGCAATACTGCAGCATACGTGGATGGGGGTTCTGAAACAGTGTTCTGGACACTTAAATCTCCGTGGGATTTTTAAAACTTCCTGGTGTTATTGCTGAGATGGATTTTCATCTCCTTACTATCTGAGTTCCCATTTCCTTAAAGTCCAAATCACTACAGAATAAGAGTTTTCATATCATTAGTGACCAGAATGATGTTCGGTTTCATGTAATATCTTCCATCGTCTTTTAGTCAGTCATGTATGAATGGCTTGCTCAGTTAGGGTCTCAACTGATGACAAAGAATATTAGAATCACTGCAATCTGTACATGATCATCGTCAAGTAATCTTTATTATAAATTCACCAATGTATGACACTAAGTGAAGGAAAATAAACAAATAATTAATTGTTCATTGACAAAGACTAGGAATATGGACAAGTTTGCAGAGACTTGCAGACCCTTATGCAAATGCCCTCATGAAACATTGGTGGAATGTTGGTAGAAGGAACATTATATAGACAAAGGGGCTGGAGAGTTGTTGATATGCTGTGGATGATTGATTGATAAATAAAACACTGATTGGCCAGTAGCCAGGCAGGAAGTATAGGTGGGACTAGCAGAGAGGAGAATTGAGAGAACAGGAAGGCAGAGAGGAGGAGATACCAGCCTGCCGTCCAGGGAGCATCATGTAGAGGCAGCAGGTAAAGCCACAGAACACGTGGCAACATATAGATTAACAGAAATGGGCTTAGTATAAGAGTAAGAGCTAGACAATGGTAGGCTGAGCTAATGGCTGAGCAGTTTAAATAATATGTGTCTGTATGTTTATTTTATAAGTGGGCTATAGGACTGCCAGGGTTTGGCGGGACCCGGAGAGAAAAACTCTAGCTACATTGATATTCTTTCATCACCACTTCTTCATATCACCTCTCATAGAATGGTGGGAGAGCACAGTGGTTACTAGCTATTTGTATTTATGAGTCAGTTAAATTAGAAAACTAAAACTCGAGTGACTGATGTTAGGTGGCTAGGTTTTAATTCCATCGAGTAGATGAATTTAAAAAACATGTATCTATTGAGCCGTTGAGATGGCTCAAAGGGGAAAGGTGCGGCTGCCAGGCCTGACTGCCTCAGTTCTACCCTGGAGGACTCACAGAATGACAGAAAAGAAAGAACTCATGCAAGTTGTCCTCTGATCTCTACGTGTGTGGGCCCATGCATACATACATACAGAAATAAATAAAAAATGTAAACAAATTTTAAATGTATTTAACTAGTTAAATATATCATAAACTCGTGACATTATCTTCTGAGGACATTTGAGTAATAAGGGTAGATTCAGTTCCAGAATAAATAGTGGTCTTCACACTCTTTACAGAACTCACTATAATCAAGAAATTGTTCTAAGTCTGAATGGACTATAAATTACTACCTTGGTAGGTATGATTGCTCCCATTTTACAGGTGAGGACATTAAGGTACAAAGAGATAATATGTTCAAAGTTACAAAGAAATATAAGAATTTGGATACATATCTTCAGTGTTCATTGTTGTTTGTCTTTGCTCGTTTGGGGGGCCTGCCACCCAACTCCCAAATAAATCACACACAGAAGCTTGTTACTACTTATAAATGCCTAGCCTTAGCTTGGCTTGTTTCTTGCCAGCTTTTCTTAACTTAGATTAACCCTCTTGTCTCTGGGCTTCTGCCTCCTAAATTCGGAGATTAAAGGTGTGTGCTTATTAATTAGAAACTTGCAGCTTGGAGAGGTTAAATAATATGCCTGAAGATGTGGAATGATTTGGTAACTCCACTGAGGAGTGAGCCAGACAGATCCCATCTCATTCCTGGATGGAGAGGAAGGACATTAAACAACCAAATAAATAATTGATGGGGGCTGTGAAGAGTGCTCTGATCAGCGCAAAGAAGATGCACAATCTCCAGGGTTTTTGTTTGTTTGTTTTGTTTTGTTTTTCAAGACAGGGTTTCTCTAGAACTCACTCTGTAGCCCAGGCTGGCCTCGAACTCAGAGATCTGCCTGGCTCTGCCTCCCAAGTGCTGGGATTAAAGATGTGCGCTACCACTGCCAGGCCAGTCTGAGTTTTAAGGGTCAAAGCAAGCATTCTTCCACAGTGAAGTGATGTAGCACCCTGGAGTCCCACAAAATGTGGGAGTTGGCAAGGGGGAGGGAGGGATGGGTGGCGGGAGTGAGAGGAAGGATTAGGAACAGCCACATTCCAGAAGGAGGGTGGGAGGGCTGGGAGTGAAGAAGACCAACAGGCAGTCTGCAGGAAGGTGGGGAGGGGACAGTGTTAGCTGAGGATGGAGAGCCAGGCTGGACTGTGCTAAAGGCATGGAGATTTTAGATCTTGTCTTAGGAGCATTGTCATCACTGAAGGGTTTAATAAAGAAGTGACAATTGTGCCCATGTGGCTCTGTCATCCACCTGCCCTCCGAGCTTTGCTTTCTGAATACATTACAGAAAATTTCTATGAAGGGGCATGGAGCTGCACACCTTTAATCCCAGCATTCAGGAGGCAGAGGCAGGCAGATCTCTGTGAATTTGAGACCAGCCTGGTCTAGGTAGTGAGTACCAGGACAGCCAGAGCTACCTAGTGAGACCATGTCTCGAAAAACAAACAAACAAACAAACAAACAAACAAACAGCTAATCTTTCCTCAACACCTTGTAGCTTTTAATGAACTACTATCTCCCTTTCATAAGGAGTGTGGTATGTGGAGACTATTCACTATTTCTCAGTCTTGGCTGCGTCTTAGAATCACCTGGGGAACTGAGACAAGGATTCCATGCCACACTCAAGGCCAATTAAATCAGGATTTTCAGGAGAAGGAGCCAAGCATTCTTATCTTTTAGACACAGTGGCCTCTGCAATTCAATTTAACAGGCTTTTATTGAACTCCACTGATCCTGCGTCTAGGCACCGTGTTAGAGTCTGCACATAAAAGGTAAGTGTGGACAGCTGTCCACAGCTATTAACTAGTTAGATGTTGTGACTGCTGCAGCTGCTAGGCAGGACAAGCAAGGCTCAGGAAGCCCCAGGAATCAGCGGGCAGTGACAGGAATCAAAGGCAATGAAAATACTAAACCACGTGTTTACATGTCTGCTGGGTCTCACCTGGTCTGTTCACTACACCACTGCCTGGATGGAAAGCCCAGAAATCGGACAACTCAAGTCAAGACTTATGGATCCTGGAGAGCTGTGATTCACAGCATCAGAAAGCGGTCTGCTGCTTGCTCCCTCTGAGAGTCAGTCAGACAAAAAGATCCCACATCCGTGTAGGCAAGCGATTCTTTTGAAAAACTGTGTGTGTGTGTGTGTGTGTGTGTGTGTGTGTGTGTGTGTGTGTGTGTGTTGTGTGCTGCACATGGTACGGAGCATATATGGAGGTCTCAGGCATTGGTCCTTACCTTCTACATTATTTAAACATGATCTCATGTTTGATGCAGACTAGCCAGCCCTCTATCTCCTGTCTCTATCTCCCATCTCAGCATAAAGGTGCTGGGGTTATGGACATATGCTACCACTTCCCACTTTACATGGGGTCTGGGGTTCAAACTCAGGTTCTTACTACACTTGTGCAATGAGCCCCTTATACACGAGTCATCTTTCCAGACCCCCCTTTAATGTTTCTACTTGACTGTATAAGATAACACAAGAGAAAACAAGCTGCTAGCATAGAAAATCTTATGGAGTAGGGAGAGGAGAAATCTTTAAGGCTATCCAGGGTGATGTGCAAAACTTGTTAGAAATGTACCTGCAAGGCCTCTGATGGGGCAGTCTTCTGCAATGCAGTCTAGGCAAGTGGGATTGGCATACATAAATGCTTTTTAATTAATTGATTAATGAATTAATTTAATGTGTATGGGTGTTTTGTCTTCATGTATTTTTGTGCGCCAGCAGAAGAGGGTGTTGGTTCTCCTGGGATTGGAGTTATGGGTAGTTGTGAGCCACCATGTGGGTGCTGGGAATTGAACCCAGGTTCTCTGGAAGAGCAGCCAGTGCTCTGAACTACTGAGCCATTGCTCCAGATCCCCTTCAAATGATTCTTGAACCCAGGTTTGATATCAGCTGGTGTTCTATGCATGTGGGTTGCAAAGAATATTCACATTTCTTGAACTCAATTTGCCCACAATTTATTGAATCAGTATAAATGTGCCTTCTCGATATTTTAAAGGGCTGATTCCCTGGGCATATAACTCAGTGCCAGAACTATTGCTTAGAATATTCAAGGACCAATGTTTCACTTCAGGACCAGGCATAGGGAAAGGCTGATTGGTAGGTAAAAGTAAGTATTCAAGTTGTGTGTGGGGAGGGGAAGTCTATGATGGTCCAAGGAAAATTCTGTCTTTCCAACCATGAAACCATCAACTTTCTTGGCTACCTATGTAGGCTATTGATTTCAAAACATTGTCATGAACAGCAATGCTTGTTTTCGATTATTCTGCGTGTTCTCTGTTATTTTGCTAGACACAAAAGTACACTCAACAAGTGCTACTGATTATGATTAAGTTGATTATCAGAGCTAGAAAGTATGTCTTGTTCTCGTAAGAAGACATTTTACTATTTTGCAAGATTTAAAAGGCTATAGAATGAAGCTTCATTTTGAAAGCTTTTGGAGGTGATCTAAGTTTGTGGCAACCCCTGGGTGCTTGAAATTCTAAGATTTCAACCAGA